CTGCCACATGAAAGACATCTTGTGAGATCCTCTGCATATGTCCCACGCCTGCCATCGTTTTAGGAAATGCTACAAAAACCTCACGTTTAGCTCACTTTTGACCAGGTGCATAATCCCTGAGGCCTGCCAAAAGTGCTCCGAATCCGTCAGTTTTTTTACACTTTTGCCTTCGAAATATGCTTCGTGCCACAACGGCATGCACTTTTTCGACATCTCAACTTCCAAACTTGCTCCGACACTGAGGTGTTTTGCACATTTTGTACTTTCCAAAATGATTTCGTACAACATGACCCTAGAAATTGACCTTTTATGGGCTTTGAGGGCAGCCATTCCGCAGGGGAAATTGGAACGGGGAGAGAGAGAGAGAGATATATATATATATAATATATATGTATATTTATTCATTTATTTATTTATTTATTTTTATATTTATATTTATTTATTCATTTGTAAATAATATATATATAGTATATAATATGCACCGCCTATAATTAATATAAATAGTAAGAATATTATATATATATATAGAATCATCATTGTCATATAGCAGGTGAACATGGGAAAAAACGCTGCAGCAGTGGTCGACCCTGCAATAAGAGCTGATCCTGCCAGATATGGCATGCCACAAATTTCAACCATCACATGAATCAATAGCCGCTGGACCCTTCTGAATTATGGAATGCTGAATCATGCTGGATCAATGCAACAGGACCAAGTAGCAACTATCAAAATCAAAACGATACGATCACCAACCAAGCCCTGGTGATCGCATCCCCAGACCATGCATTAGTCAAGCATCCTCTGGCTTTGGACACTGGGTGCAGGAAGCAACCTTCACAGGCTCTCGGGAATGTGTATGCCTTTCCCCGCAATCGCAAGAAGGGGTTTGGCAAGTTCAGGACCTTCAAGACCAAAATTGAAGGCTCCTGCACAAATCTTGGGCAGCTTGGGCAAGTTTGGCAATGGTGGAATTTGGCACCACAAACTTCACACATGACGATTTCCCCATGAGCTTTCCAAAAGCCATTGATTGAATAATGACCACGAGAAAAGCAGCTCCGAGGCCAGCGGAGGAATGTTGCACTTGGCCCGGTACAGCAGGTAGGCTGCTAGCAATGCCTTGACTTCAAGCAAGCACTCTTTAATCTAAAAAAGGCTTACTTGGAAATCAGAATGAGCAAACTGAGAATATCACAGCTGCGAATATCACCAGAAAAGGATAAGCGAAAAAAGGTGACCGCAATGGCAGCAACACCGACAACAACCTCCACCACTCCCTCAATAACACCACAAACACTGCAACAGCACAAGCAACAACAACCTATCCCAATCTCATTGCCAACCAAATGCGCTAGGGGCTCGTTGGGCTGGCACCCCTCTTAGCAGGAATTCAAGCAAGGGGATCAACTCCTTCTCACCTCCCCAGAAGCAGTTTTTCGCAGCCTTGGCGAAACGATGTCACATGCATTTTGTTTCACCACATGTAGTTGTGAGTGATATAGCTCTGTTTAAAACAAAGGAACTGCATAAGCAATCCTGGCGGTTCTATTCATCTCGTTTGGAGGGCGCCCAGCTTCCACACTTCGCAGCCACAGGCTGGCAGCTTTGCTTGCAGAAATCGGAATCGGCGGCATTCTTGAGCACCTGCGCATTGGAACAGTGGTGGGATGGCAGAAGCTTAAAATCAACGCACTTAATGGCTGGCAACTTGAACTTAAACATCTGACCCTTGGGCGGAGAATTTGACCCTTCGTTGTTGCTCTGACCCTTGGGTGACCCTTGGAGGACAACCTCGCTCGGTCTCGCGACCCGGAGGCGTATTGCATGTGGCTATTGGGAGCGTATTGGCAAGGGAATTGCACATCTCAATACGCCTCCTGGCCTTGAGCCCTGGAGCTTGGATTCAGAGGTGCAATACTCTTGTCAAACTGCGTTCCTTGAGTTTCGGTATTTGGATGGGAAAATCACGTCTCAATACGGGGGCTCAGCCTTAAGATCGACAAGCGTATTGCAAAGGGATGGAAGTCAATGTTTTTTTTAATCCGCAAGTTTCTTTTGCTTGCGCTTGCACAATCAGCCCACTCACGGTCTTGCGAATTTGCCAGACACTCCCCGAGACTGACGAAACACCCTGATGAATTTCAAAAAGCATTGCATGTCTGCCATTGAACCAATCCTCTTCACAGTGGTTCTTTTCTTGGCAGTGCTTGCAGTGGCTGCTTTGTGCTCCCCTATTAATTAACAAGGACCAGCGCTTTTCACTCATTCCGGCACACAGCTTGAAATCGAAATATGAAAGCAGAAGTGAGGGTTAAAGACCTTCAGCTTCGACAGGTACTCCCAAGGCTCTCAAAAATCAATCAAGCCATCTGCGTTAGAGATTTTAAAAGACTTCATCGATGACAAAACTTGCTCAAACTGAGGTGGCGAGCTGCCTAGCTATATCGCCAAGCAAATGAATCTGCAAGCTCTTGGTCTTCATCGCTGGCTTGAACCATTGGAACTTGCTCAAATTCCATGAGCCACGTGATGTTTCTGCCACATCTACTCTCCGCCCTATGCATGATCCCTTCGCAAAGCAGACCAGCAGTGCAGCAGCCTCAGCTTGCAGGTGAAACAAGTGGCATTGGGCAGCAGTGGTACCTCACCTGGAAGCAAGGGAGTGAAGAAATTGGCAGCACACTTTTTGTCAATCTCAAGGAGGAAAGCTTTTGGCGGAACCACTGGCCAAAGCAGGCTAGCATGCCTGCAGGGTCATTGTGCTGTGCACAAATGAATGACATTCATAATGAGGAATGCAAATGAAAAAGCCACAGGCTTAGCAGGCCCAGCGTGTTCCACACAGGCAAGCTTTATGCTCAGGCATCCGTGCAAGCAATGCATTAAAATTCTTTAATTTGGAACGCTTTCCAACTTTCTTTGACATTGGGAGAATACCAAACCGAGCCTTAAGTTGCATGTCCAACTTCTTCTCCCACTTTGTTGCAGCCTTTGCCTTTCTCCGTGCAACTCCCATGGCAGCTTCTGCTGGGGCAGCAATGGCTGCTGGTTTGGCTGGTGCTGCTCGGGCTGCTGGGTTATGCCAATCAACCGAAGAAAGAGCCAAGAGCATGGCAAGACCAACTGTCTGTAAATGCATCATGTTGCCTCCCATGCACTCCAGGTCACCGTCCGATACACCTTCTGGTATGACCATTCGATGAAGAGGCAAGCAGTGCAACAGCAGTTTTTCAGCTGGAATGAGACATCGGGCAGCTCCTGCAAGGACAATGTGGCCTCCAGGGGTGATAGTTGGCAAAGCCCCATCAGTGCGACAAGGCATCCTGCCCAAGCTCTGGGAGATGTCAACTGAAATTGAAATTGAAAAGCAACAAAGTTAATTCATAAACCGCCCTTTGAAATCAACCCAAAATGACCTGCATTTGATGCGATCACCAAACATGCTTGGGTGATCAAGTCACAGTTTTCAGTTAACATCCTGCAATAAAAGGCAACCTATTGCCCCAAAAATGGTCATCACCTGATGCGATCACCAAACCAAGCTGGAAGAGCGCAGGAAATCCCAACATCCACTGCCAAGAAACCAATGTCAAGCCATCCCAAAGCAATCCAAAATCGTCCTCAGTCTGGCCGGTCCAGAGGATGCTGCAGGGGCCGCGGGTGCCTGGTCTGTAGGCCCATCGCTGATCGTCGAAATCTCCTTTCAAGCACTCAGCCTTGCAGGGATTCTGTTATTAAGATTGCCGCAGAGAAATTTAAAAACCTGATGCTGCAACATCTCCCCTGATTCCAGTCCCTAACATGCCCTTGTAATCAAACCACTGCAATGGTTGACAACTAGTATGATTTTCCAGCCAATTAAATCAATTATATAACTATTGTACACTAACTAGCCGGTTCACTAATAAAGTATGAAGGTTGATACTCTAAAATAACAAGCAAGTGAACAGGCAATATTGCTGTTGCTGTGGCCATTGCTGTGGCTGTTGCTGCTGTTGTTGCTGCCAGTGCTGCTGCGGTGGTGGCGGTGGGGTGCTGCTGCTGCTGCTGCTGCTGCTGCTGCTGCTGCTGCTGCTGGTTGTGGCTGTGGCTGTAGTTGTGGTTGTGGTTGTGGTGGTTCTTGGTCTGGTCCTTGCTGCTGTTTTTGTTATTGTTATTTCTCTTCTTCCTGTTGTTGTTGTTCTTCTTCTTCCTTCTGAGAAAATCCCGAATCGTGTTTTTGTTATTGTTCTCATTGTTTGTGTTGTTCTTGTTCTCGTTTATATTATCAGTGTTATTGTTCTAATTCGTGTGTCTTGTCCTTGTCCTTGTCCTTGCTCTTTTCCTACCCATGCCCAGCCTATAGTACCCAGCAGGGGCTGTCGAACTTCTTCTGCTGCACGTCAGCTGGCCGGAAGCTGAGGATATAAAAAAATTCCTCAGCAGACACCCAAATGGACTGGGCAGTTGGCCCTGGCATCTCGCCAAAGTCAAAAAATTGCGCATTGCCAGGATGGAGATTGTGGAGCAAGGCATAGTCTTCATTGTTGAGGTACTGCTTGGACTTGAGGGCATACCTCACACCTCCACGCTCTTGCTCTTCAATCTTGTGGCCAAAATGAATGCCAAATAAGGAGGCATTGATTGTGTCCTTGTTGCATTCCTCCAAAGACTTGAGGCGCAGGTTCCCTGCCATGGCGTCCAAATTGCGTAGCTCGATGCCGCTGGTGCGGAGGTGGGCAAGGTCCAGGAACTTATTCGCCATGCTGAGAGAACGTCATTGGCATAGAGCAGCAGGGGCATCAAATTGCCGCCAGTGCCAATGGGAAGCGCCCAGCCAGCCCATGCAAGGTTCTGATGACAGGGACCGGGAGACAAATTTAGCTTGGGAAGGAAATCCCACCAAACAAGTATGATGCAGAAAATAAGCATACCTTAGCAACAAAATGTCAAGTAATTTGCAACAAACATGTAATTCATTGATCAGTTCAATGATGTTTTGAGTGCTTTGTTTTCAAATTTCAAGGCTCCCCATCCTCCTCTGGCTCAAGAAGCGGGTATCCCCTGGCAGCACCGTTCATAGAGAAGGGTAAGATGAAGATGTTGCACAGAAGCGCTCCACCACCGCAGGGACCGGCCTCTGAGAACTGCTGGAGGAGCTCACGCACAATGGCAGCCAACTCAGCAGGGAAGCAATGAAACACCGGAGGATTAAAATTACCTCTAACAATTTCTAATATTCTTGGCGCCCCCATGTCATGAAACGCAGATCCATGTCCAGAAAATCTTCTTTGACCACATGATGCCGAGCTGCCACAGAGAACTTCTTTGGAATGCTATTGTGCGGAGGAATCAGCTGCAGCAAATCGCGGGCTTCCTCGACTATGTTGGCTTCGCTGGGCTGCAGGGTCAAACCTCAAGCATGCGCAAAAGCAGGCACAAAATGGATCCCCTATCAGATGAACATTCTCGGAAAAAGTCCAACAAATGTGGAAATTGAAAACCTTACCAGTTCATATGGAAATGGAAAGCTTTAAACTAAGTCACATCAAAACCGACGGACATGGACATATTGTTCTTGTCAGCACCAGGGAAGAAACTCAACACCATGGTGTTAAATCCGAACATTGCCCATGAGAAATCTTTGGACGTGTCGTAGACTTCATTGAAAATTGCAGGGGCATGGATGCGAGCCACAGCATGGTGCTTGATTTCTTCCTGGCCCAGCAGCAGACCTTCCATTCGCAAGCCAAAGGTGCTGCCAACAGCTTGCCTCACGCTCTCTGCGATATCCATTCGCTGGCGCTGGAGAGCAGCAGATTGGGCAGCTTGGGCTGCAGGGAGAAGGCCAGTTTCAGATTGGTGCACCAATCTCCCTTCCACAACCAGCTCATCTGGCCCTGGCCCATCATCTCCATGCTCCGCTTCATTGTAGTCCTCAATCAGTGGCGCGACATCAGGAGGACCAGCCGGTGCTTTGGCAGCACGGGCAGCTTCTGCCACAGCAGGGGCTGCTGCAGCAGGGTGGGCTGCTTCGGCAGCAGGAGCTCCGGCAGGATGAGCTGCTTCGGCAGCAGGTCCTGCAAGATCAGCAGCGTCTGCAGTCTCCATGGCGGCCAATTCCTCTTCCAGGGCAGCAGCAGGAGCTGCCATCACCAGCACAAGAAGGCGAAGTGAACGCACAGGGGCGGCTTGGGCAAACCAGTGCTGGGGATGGAAGAATGAAGCAATCCATGCAGGGCTGCTAAAACTAGAATGCGCTTCATTAATTAATAAAATAATAAAAAACATTAACCACAAACACTGCCGACCCCAGCACTGACAAGTCCAAGCCTTCTCCAAGTGCTGTAGTGGGAAAGGCAGCGGCAGCAGGAGCAGCAAGGTCAGGCCTGAGCAGGATGTAAATGCCATAATTACTTAGACTAGAGGCTTATGAATGGAAATGCGATTGGGGATTTATAATGCATAATTTGACCCTTCAACGCGACGATATGACCCTTCAATGTCACGTTTTAGTTTTTTTGCGCGTTGAAAGGTTCTGAGGGCGCGGCGAAGGGTCAGGATAATCAGGAAGATGAGGAATGCAGAGCCGCTTGGGCAGCGTGGCCAGGCAGGGATGCTGGAATGGAATGAACTACTACGAACTCAACCCTTTTGACTGGACAGTGGCTCACAGGTGTGAAGAAAACAGTAAAAAATAAAAAATGTCCGAATTGCCAAGGCAGATCAGTTTTATAAAGGAACTGATCAAGACTTCCGGAATCGCCACGTTTGGCGCTTCCCATCTACCATGGCTCCCCCGCCAGATCAGGTGAGTGTAAAGTGATGAAGAAGGTGCGACCAGCCCAGAAGCCACCCACTGAGTTGCCTGGAAATTCAGGCCAGGTGCGCTTTGTGAATGTGGTGTCAGAAAATCAGGTTCTCAATTTGACAATTTTGAGCACCCAATTCTTGGACGAACACATCCGAAAACAGATCCAACGCCCAAGAATTGGCTCCTCATTTCGGAGTGCCTTATGGGTGTTCCTATCATTGGAGGGGGGGTGCAAGGCCATGAGAGCCACACAAAATGCATCAAAATGCCAATGCAAACCAACACGGGTGCCTATGAGAAAACCATCTCAGTCAACTCAAAAAATCAGCACCGAAAAGTGGAGGAAAAGTTGACAGAGTTTTTCCAACCCACTAGCCTCTGGTAAACGTTTGCAAAAAGCTATGGGAAATCACAATCTTTAATAAGTAAATAACCTATTTCTATGGGCCATTTTCCAGTTCGCAAACTGTTAAATGACCAGAGGGTATCCAGTTGTATCATTGTAGTATCAGTATTTATATACTATTTACTATTTACTACCAACTTCTTCCAGTAATCTTCACTTCTGTCTGCTGTTGTGACCTCCAAAGTTCCGTTTTCGTTTTTGTTGTTCATCTATAGGCAACTACAGTATACCAAAATATAGCCCTGGACAATATTAATGGTTTTTAAAAAATATGATCTTTTACCATATGAAAAATCCACTCTGACCCCAAGCCTGGAAAATATCCATGTCACATCATCTTCGTTCATCTTTCCCACATCACTTTTCAGATTTTGCCTGGAAAAAACATGGAAAAAAACCTCATGAAACACCCTGTCCCCACCTGGATAATCCTTGGGGGTCAAGGTGACTGACACACTGGTCACATCTTCAAAGAGCATCACAGGAGCCACTCCCCCGGGGACCACATAGGCCGCCTGCGGAGCATTGCCGAGGTCATAGCGATTTCTTGGGAGATCCAAAAACAAAAAATGCCAGCCAGATGGAGCACCCTGATCAAGCACCGGCTTTAACCCCTACCGGCCCTACCGTAAGAACCCCTGCGTGTGGAGACACACTGGGGAATCATGAAAAAATGAGTAGCCACGTTCCTGCTCATCTCATTCGAGCTTTTAGATGTCTGCTTAGCATTGTCTGTTTATTCCGATACCATCAGCCAAGGAAACAAAACGATAGATGGATCTAGCCCCCTGCGGTACTGGTAACGTCCACCTGTGGATCGATCGGGACGTTCCAGCGAGTCCCATTGGGCCAAAATGCCGCCTGCGGCTGAGAGGGCTGAGCGATGAGGTTAAGGGACTTCTTTGGAAAAGCAAGATGTTTTGAAAGAACATACGGTGGATCGACAAAATCCTGCATCGGTTTGTAACTGTTGGTAAGTATGAAACACCGTAGATAGTGGGATTAGAATGGGAAAAAACATCTACCAACTGGTGCAGGATTTCGCAACCATCCACAGTATGTGCCATGGTCAATACATGGTCTATGGATTATATATATATATATATGGTCCCACCATCATGAGAGATTTCGTACATATAATGGGTATATAATCACCCCTATCAACGGGGCGCCGACCATCCCCTTTCATGGGAAAATACAACAACTTTTAACCATCGCACATATATCAACTATACCCAATTTCCAAACAATTCAAGCTGAACATGAATCACTGATTCTTGACAAGTTTGGTCTATTTCTAATTACGCTTAATCAAATACTATCATATAGAACAATCTTGCAGATGGGATCAAGAATGATTAATATTATTCAATTAGATGCGGATATAAGGGATATAAATGGATATATGACATATGGGGATAATTTATCTAAATAATCCATATAAGATTAATTGGATGGGGACTGATTTTCATACCTGACGTATTGGGACGAAGAATCATTCCAGACAGTACTAAATGATTAAATGTCCTGCTGCCGATTACACACTGTTAACCACCTGTTGATTACCGCATCTATAAACAGTAGATCCTCATTCCCCTAATGTTAAGCACCAGTCTACGGTCCCAAAAACAAAAAATATCTTACTAGTTATACACCATGGCTTCTGGGTGTGTTTTTCATATGGGATTCTGGGATTAAATGCTTTAACGGTTATATCCCATTATCGGTCAGCTAAATCCCATGAAAAACCTCATCAAACTCCATTTTTCATCGGTTCAAACTCCATAAATTTCCCATTCATGGATGATGCTTTAGTGGTAAAAAGCTTGACTTTCTCATATCGCCACATTGGCACCTTGACATCATGCAGTACCACTTCACCTTTTTGCAGAGATCTCACTGGCTCCTGAAAGAAAAAATGTCCCACCAAATTGAGGCGTAAACATGAAATTGGCTACTGTGTAATATATGAATACAGTGGGGGAAAAAAACTCTGTAATATTGCATTATATCACAATGTGAAATTGAAATCTTTGATATATATATATAATATATAAATATATATAATATAATATATAATATTATAATATATATATATAATATATTAATATATAATCTATACGATATAATATATTATATATTAAATGATAATATAATCACTACCCTTTTAAGGAGGGGGGGGGCGTACCCAAATTGCAAGACACAATTTAGACGTTTTTGAGGGAGGTGGTCCTGTTAAATGTTGGCAAGCATTTATTTTTTAACTGTGTCTCATTTGCAAGATTTCATTTTAGTATATAGGTCCCCTCATTCTTTACGGGATTTCATTTATTTTTTAAAAAAACGCACGGGGGGCGTTCAATATTGTCCATTGCATGTTTGAAAAAAATGTAAGAAAATGAAAAAACAATGTAAAAAAATAGTGTGAAGGTCTGCAAATAGCTGCAGAATTGCAGAAAATCAAAAATGCAAACTGGAAGAGTGCAGGTTCCCAATTGCCTGGTATGTCCAATACATTCTACACTTTTTCTACACTTTTTCTACACTTTTTAAATCATTTCCACATGTAACATAGAGGTATAGAAGGTATATTATTCCTTGCAAATTACTGGAAAATCCTTGAACTTCAAATAAATGCAAAATTAGATGTTGAAGGTCTTCAAATTTACCTCCTATGGAAAAACAATAGAATACAAATAAAGATCTCAAATGGACCTCAAATGGACCTCAAAAGGACCTCATAGGAACCTTTATGGGGTCCCCAGGGTCCCCATTATATATATATATATTGGTAAGATGTAACCAGATTTACCACATACGAATAGAATAGGCTATATTCCCAATAAGAAAAAAAACTTAGACACTATGAACTATAAGATTCCTGTCATTTTGATTCAAAACACTGTGATTTATCATTGGATTTTGGGGTGACCAACCCATTTACCAAGCTGTTTGGGTTTGGATCAAGTCATTGTTTTCCCAGGTTTAACGCTTGAACCATTCAATTTTATGGTCAATGGATTGGTTTTCTTGGGCAAGAAAACATTGATTTTCCCATAAAATATAGGGGGTTCCGGTTCCGATTTTCCCTTACCATCTGGTTATTTAACATAGCTATGGAAAATGGCCCATTTATAGATTATTTTCCCAGTAAAACCTCCATTTTCAATGGATTTTCCATAGCTATGTTAAATAACCAGATGGTAAACCAATCCATTGATAGGGGTACCTGAAAGTCTGAACCAAACCTTGGGGTGAGATCCAGTCGTTTGGGCACCAATGCACCCATGATTTTGGTTCAAATCATTTTGGCCTGTACCTATTTCAGATAGTGTCGACCCCCGAATGTTCTGAAAGCCTGGTTGATTCATTGGGAGTTGGGCTGGAAAAAAAGGGAGGCTACTGGTAGAGATATATATATATATACAATCATGCATACATGTTGTATATATATATATATATATATAGTTATATATAGTTATATGTTGTATATATATATATATAATACACATAGTCTTGTTTATACTAAGGCACTATATCTATACTAAGGCACTATATGCAGCAAACGGAATTCAAAATTAGTTGGTACGGTCATGTCAAGTTGCGTGTTCAACATATTGATACAGCATCATAGAATCATATTGCTAACATGTCATGGAAATGGCGTGGGAATGCAGTTCGAATCCCAAGTTTCTTTGTTGCAACACCCAAATGTGTGCTGTTTGTTGAGTCCCCATGTTTGATGGCTTACAACTTAGGTTCCCTTTATTGTTTGGCTAATTACTTAATTTCCATTTCTGCGGAGTTTGCCTTTCTTTCCCATGTTTTTGTTGTCTCTGCCAGTCTCAATCCCTATTTTTTGTGGTTCACTCCCAATGTTTGACGCCATCGACATGGTTAAATCAGTTAAATCCCTATCGTTTGATACTGAAATCCCTCATGAAACAATGGATGATAAATCCCTAGCCCTTTTTTCCCCACCTGCCAGGTGAGGGTTGTTAGATTTTATCAGAGCTGTTCTCCTCCTCCTCCGCCTCCGCCTCCTCCTCCTCCTCCTTGTCCTCCTCCTCCTCCTCGCAGTCCAGATCCCAGTGGGCACAGCCGGACCTCCACCGCGAGCGCCAGATCCCAGTGGGCACTGCCGGACCTCCACCGCGAGCTCCAGATCCCAGTGGGCACTGCCGGACCTCCACCGCGAGCTCCAGATCCCAGTGGGCACTGCCGGACCTCAACCGCGACTTCCAGATCGCAGTGGGCACTGCCGGACCTCAACGCGATTACAGATCGCAGTGAGGCACTGCCGGACCCTCAACCGCGACTTCAGATCGCAGTGGGCCCTGCCGACCTCAACGGCCAGATAGAATAGGTACAAGATAGAATGCCAGAAAAAATGTCAGAAGATATGCCAGATAGAATGTCAGATAGAATGCCAGAAGATATGCCAGATAGAATGCCAGAAGATTTGCCAGATAGAATGCCAGAAGATATGCCAGAACATATGCCAGAAGATATGCCAGATAGAATGCCAGATAGAATGCCAGAAGATATGTCAGATAGAATGCCAGAAGATTTGCCAGATAGAATGCCAGAAGATATGCCAGAAGATATGCCAGAACCTATGCCAGATAGAATGCCAGATAGAATGCCAGAAGATATGTCAGATAGAATGCCAGAAGATATGTCAGATAGAATGCCAGAAGATATGCCAGATAGAATGCCAGAAGATATGCCAGAAGATATGCCAGAAGATATGCCAGAAGATTTGCCAGATAGAATGCCAGAAGATATGCCAGATAGAATGCCAGATAGAATGCCAGAAGATATGCCAGAACATATGCCAGAAGATATGCCAGACAGAATGCCAGATAGAATGCCAGAAGATATGTCAGATAGAATGCCAGAAGATTTGCCAGTAAGAAAATGTATAAATGCCATGGTGGGGATCATTCGAAGTGAAGTATTTTTTTTCATGGTGACATAATCTATTTCTGTTGGTTAAAGACCTCGTTTGGTCCGAGAAAATCCCTTCAGAATCTCTAGGTCCTCCGAGTCAAAAATGGACAGGAAAAGCTTGGAAAACTTCACTGGAAGCGGCTGGTTTTCCTGCCGGATCACGGATCGACCGAATCGACCATGGCAATTTTTTTAGTGTTTTTTCCGCCAGGGGGTACAAATAGACTCAGTATGACTCAGTAAAAGCCAATGAAATATGGAACGTTATGGAAGATTCCAAGTTCTTTGAGATGTTCATCGGTTTCGTCAGTTGGGATCCCCGAAACCCGGTTCGTGGGATTTAAGCAGACTCAAAAAAATGCACAGGCGTGAGTGAAGACTGGCTGAACCCATGGAAGTGAACAAGCAACATTGGGATGTACAGTACCATCTGGTTATGTAACATAGCGAACTGGAAAATCCATTGTAAATGGAGGTCTTACTGGGAAAAATTCTCTATAAATGGGCCATTTTCCATAGCTATGTTAAATAACCAGATGGTACAGTAACGAATTCAAACAAAAGCTGGGTATCAAAGGAACATTTTAGTAGAAATGGGATGACTTTATCAACAGAAATGAGGACGAAACAGCACTGGAAATCCGATTTGACCAAACAATCTGGCCTGTATCTATCGACTATGCACATGCCTCACGCGAACTCTTCAACATGTGGCTCTAAAAGCTGCGTATCTGGCCCCTTGACTGTCTCGCAAAAGCTCAGCTATATTCTATACATATATGTTCCCTAGGTTTGAGAACATCATTCGCACGTTGCTTGATTGATTTTGACAAACACAACATTAAAATAATAGATGGAGGATCCCTAAAAGGGGGGGGGGTACCCAAAATCATCCAAGTCATTTTATGTTGGTGGCTTGAGGATCTCCAATTAAGAAACCCCCATATTAAAACCACCTAAACTCAAACGAAAGACCGCCCCCACCTGCACTTGATGACTGGCCATCAGAAAGCGCAGCTCGATTTGCGCTTCCGTGTTCGTGGCTACCTAGGAATTTCGGGATGGGTTTTCAGTCAGGTACCCCTTGAGGAACTGGGTAGATAAAGAGGTAAAATATGGCTTAAAATGACCCATTTCCGTGTGGATATCAGTTAAACATACTTAAACTATGTTCTATCCTGAAAATAGGTTCCCCCACCCCGAAATGGTAATGAAATACTAGGGAAAATGCAAATCAACCACTGGATATTTAGATTATATACCTTATGTTCAAACCAACCCACATACAGCCATCCCAAAGTAAAAAATGCCAATATCACGAAAATCCCAATAATCCAAACAATATCCACCAATATGACCCATACGAAACTCATATCCCCTCTTATAAGTTGGAACAACATCTATGGACATGATCGACTTAACCCAATTTCGCCAACTGGGGCATCACTTTTGACATACCCTCTGGTATTCAAAGATGGAAAATCCACCGACAGATTGATCTTCCATTGGATCTTCCGACTGGGTCTTAACCGGAGGGTCTTTTTTTGGCCCAGCCCGGGAAATTCCCAAGGCACATTGACCGAGGCGGCATAGTGATGCGAGGCCAAGCCATTGAGCAGTGCTTTCTTGGGATGATATCCCTGACCAGCTTCCAGTACCTGCCAGGGGAACCAGAAATAGCGGTGATATGGAACTTCATAGAACTTCATTGTGAAGTGCCATATCCAACAGGAAAATCATCTTCCACAACCTATTTTTTTTGTGAAGCTGTTGGGTTGATGTCTTCAATGGATTGGTTAAAGTTTGGTAAACAGGTCGTGTTTAAACCCATGGGCTGATAACTTGGGGAGTACAGGTTTGGTAGCAAATCGCCACTTTTTGGGCGTTACCACCTTAATTAATCAGCCATCTAGATGGTGCCATCGGTAGTGACCCATCACCACGATGGTTACTGTCAAATTAAAGTATCTTACAATTATCCATGTTTCATCACTACTCCATAGTAACTTTCCAAACTGGTTGGTTAAATCGTCCTAAATCCCCTCTTCACTTCGTCAAACCGTCAGTGATGTTGACAACAACTGAAAAGTTAGCTCGTTAACTCATTTTGACTGCCCATTCTACTGGGCTAAAGTCCCCATAACAAACTAACATCCTCAAAATTATCAACTTTTTGCCACTTATCATCAACCATTACGGGGGAAAAAACACGGTGAAATCATCTTAGAAACACCATGTTAAATGTTCATCATGTCAATGACCATGGTTTTTATCCATGTTTCATCCTTTCTCGGAGAAATCACCATTTTTGTCCTCCACCTCCATCTCCTCCGTCCCTTCCCTGGGATCCGCGATCCCACGGGCGCACCACGTCCACGGCATGGCCGTGCAGGTGCGCCACGGCGCGGTAGTGCAGCTGCTGGGGGGCGTTCTTCTCGGGGCCAAAGCCGCCCAGGTTGTTGCAGATCACCTGGGTGCCCTAGTTCGTTATAAGTTATAACTCTGGTAATTTAACATAGCTATGGAAAATCACCATTTCGAATGGGTAAATCCACTATAAATGACCATTTTCAATAGCTTTTTGTATGTTTACCAGAGGTTATAACTATGGTTTTTGGAGGTGATATCCGCCGACCCCTGCCTAGCCTTGGCCTAGGCGGGGCGGCGCCCGGGATCACCGTAGGTGTGCAGCATGGCTCGTGCCGGCTTTACCATTGCCATGGCAACCCTCCGCTTGCTTTGCCATCGTACCTCCCCATAGGCCCTACAAACTGTTTCTATTGGGCTTCGAAACTGCTACATGGCACGTTTTGGCCAGGCCTTCTTTTGGGAAGCCTCAGCACCGCACAACCCTCCGCTTGCTTTGCCATCGTACCTCCCCATAGGCCCTACAAACTGTTTCTATTGGGCTTCGAAACTGCTACATGGCACGTTTTGGCCAG